CCTACTGGATTAACAGTTTGGAATAACGTGGTGTCGTACAAGCTTCCTAGTTTCCTTAAAGCGCTAGACAAATGCTTGAAAATTTATAAACCATATTCCCTCGACTTTCCTCGCCAGACAGCACCCGCTTGGAATCTGCTTGCTGGTTATTTGTATGATTTTAGCCCCCCGGGTGAACAAGCCAACATCGCGTCATTGATTTCAGCTATTCGTACCAAAGCAACAGCAAAATGATTTCTTGTATTGTCCTACAATGACCATGGAAATCAAATTCATTGCATCGTTTTTATGATCATTTAAATAAATTCCACGACAAGTTACCTGTTTATGATTGTAATCACGAAGTCTGTACAAGCAGATTCTGCGTACGATACTCCTTTTTTCGCCATTTAAAAAAAACACCTCATGGAATACGAACCAGCCAAAACATAACTGTTAGTAATGAATACACCACAAACGAATTTGTCGCAGCAAATTCCGAAAATGTCTCTTCCGGACAAAGTGACGAAAACAAAAGTGTACAAAACAGGGATGATGAGTTTTTACCAGGATCGATACAAGCACAAAAGTAAAATAATGTTATAGATTTGAGCAAAAATGGAAAACATAACTATCGATCGATCGAATTTGAGATGGTTAAATATGAACTCTTTGCCAAGAAAAATTGTGTTTGAATATACAGACGAAAATGATAAAATAGTTTTTGGAAGTAACAGAACTAACGGGAGCAACTGGGTTAATTTCAAAGGAAGGGAAGTACATGTTCAAAAAAATATTTGAAGCATTAGGTGGTGCCGATACGGAATTAGTGTATAGCAAAATTAAAATCTACCGACCAAAAGAATTCGTTATTAGTAACGAACTGCGTCTCAAGAAGTGGTCAGGTAATGGATAATGACCCAATTACAGGTTAGTTTTGAGGCAAATTATAAATTTACATAAAGTAGGGGAAATGTATGTAATGTCGGCCTAGGGACACATAAATAAATTCAGCAATCGACTAAATTTTCAATAGCAACCAAAAATATCCATTAGTACCGTCCCAATGACGCGTTCATATAGATAAAATTGATCAATAGCAGATTTTTAGCGATGGGCCCAATGTTAGATCCATAGGCCAACATAAGAGCCATTTCCCTTACATGATGCAATTTTGTCATAAATTCAGAAATATTAATGCGTATTAAATTTTACCTTCAGCGGGGCTGGTGGTGTACTGGTAAGCGTGATTACCAATCACCCCAGCAGCCCTGGGTTCAATCCCAGTCGGCGCCGCCAGGATGTTCTGAGGGAAGTAAAGCCGATGGTCCCCGGTTCATGAGTTGATAGGTAGGGTCCAGGTGTGGGAGCTGCCTCCCTGGCGTCGGTAGCATTGGTGCTCAGCACGGAAAACAAGATCGATGGAGAACAATCCAAAAAGAAAGAAAAATCTATCTTCGGAAACATTTGGAATCGAACAACGTTATGAAAACTATTTTGGGAAACCTTGCTCCATCTCACGATGGCTATATTCGCAGCATCATTGATGGTTCTGCATGGAAGAAAAGGACACAACATTTGGCATCGTCGAAAATCATCATATTAGGGTAGAGCGCTACTTCGTCGTAATCGCCCATTTCCGTTCTATCGATCAGAAAAGATCAATAATATCAATGATTTCACCGTGTACAAATCAATAATAGGTTTGTTCAGATGCGTTAGTTCGTTAGCTACAACATAAATCCTGTTAGAGCGCATTGTATAAATATTTACGCTCATTGTTCTCAAAACAAAAGGAGCGTTCCTAGCGAATCCCCCTTTAACGAATTTAAAATCAAGAAGCAGTATTAGATTTCAAACAATATCTCAACAATTTGTCACTCTTTATCAAATCCAATGGTACCTACATATGGAAAGGTGAATAAATCTTTTATAGAAATATTCCATTTTTGGTTTGAACTCGTTCAGAAAAGAGAGGTAAAGCACGGGTTGTCCTTAGTCAGACGGAAATTATCAAACCCTATTGAATCTATTTTTTTGATGATTTTACTTCAGGGGAAACTGTTTCTCCACATGCAGCTCAAACTTCAGTATCAAGAGCCACATGTGAAAAGGGCATACAAGCTTTGTGTAAATAAACCATTATGGTCATTATCGGTGTCATTCCTTAATTTTGTTGCTAAGGAATCCAATTTTGACTGACAGCGGGGCGCGCCTTTGGAGGGTGTTTCAACACTCCGAAGGGTATAAATAACGGGACCTTTCAATTAGTGTCGGATCCTTGTGATAAATGCAAGAATGACTGTAAAAAATCGAATACTTCATCATTTCATCAATAGTGATGGAGTAATACGACATGCACTAAACTAAGGACACGGGATATACTACAATAGATCAAATTACTGGTCGCAGTGGTTTTTTTTTTTTTTTTTTTAATAATCCATTTATTTGTCAAGGCTCAAATGCGTTAGCTTTGCGGAGCCGAATATTTTTTACATTATTGTGTGTGAATATAATTTTCTTACAACTAATGTTAGTAGAACGGGGGCCGATTACTCGCGGTTTACTCGAGATTAGGGATTACATTTATTGATCATTTGGAGGGAGGACAAGGGAAAGCATTATGAACTAATTTAAAACTTGGTCGCAGTGGTGTTAGGTTCCGAATAGAGGAAAAAAATGCATTCCGCTACACCTCATTGGGCCATGAGAGGAGAAGCCAAACATCGCTATGCAAAAAAATATAGTAAAGTAAATAATAATAAGATAAATTTATGCAAGTCTTTAGGTATAAGAGTAGCTTATAAGTTTGCTTTTAATAATTTTAGCAATATTTTTGTTACTCCATTAATTGATTATAACGAATCTAAAATTTCAAAATCACCGCTTGCTAATGAATATCAAATATTATTAGGTGGACCATTTCAAGTTGACAAAAAATCAGCATTACATGTAGATAATTTTTTCAAGCAAGGATCATTGTTCACCATGGGTACATTTTTTATATTAAGGTGATACTCTATAAGGAAGCCTTAGCGTGAAACTTCAAAGGCACAAATGTCAGCTTCCACAAAATATACAAATTTGAAATTGCTACTCTCTGTTTGTAGTAGCACAGCAAACAAGGAGTAGCAATTTCAAATTTGTATGTTTTGTGGAAGCTGACATTTGTGCCTTTGAAGTTTCACGCTAAGGCTTCCTTAGAGTATCACCTTAATGATAGAGATTTGATTACTACTAGCAATTTTAACATATGTCGATAAAAACTCATTTTGGTTTGCTATAGCATTCACTCGCGTAAATTTGATGAACATTTGCAATCTTTTGAAATAACCAAAATGAATGAACCTACATTGAGGAAAAAAATTCTTAATAATTCCATAAGACATGAATTATGAACCTGGACAATTTTGATTTCATAAGATTCCTATGGATTCCATAGGCATGCGTTATGCATTCCATTAGCACGACTTATGAATGATTATCTTAATACCTTTAAGCTATTCTATTTCCCAAGCGTTGATGACGTGGAAACAAATCACGGAGTCAATAATCTGAACGCTCAGGATTCGAATCCGGTCTGCTACATTTTATATTACTTTTTTTCTGTTTCATAAGCCAAACTTATGATTTCCATAAGAAATTCTTTTGTCGAAATTTCATAAGTGTTTATTATGGAATCCTAACGTTACTTTGCCTCAGTGTAGGGTAGATTTGATATTGGAAAGCTACAAACAGTCACTATCAATCTACATAAAGTAGAGGGGCAAACATTATTTTAGATTTTGTAATTATATAAATGTATTAAATAATTAAATGCAATAAATATATTAAAAAACAAAATTGTTCTTTTAAAATAGAAGACAAACAACTTAAACCAGAAAAGGAATATCATTGAACAAACAATATATATTGTTCACTCAATGAATAACAATGGTTGATTCAACAATTTATTTTTAATCCAAAAAATAAAACTTTTATCATTAAACATTGTTTTACCATTTCAAAGAAAATAATATTGCTGACTCAATAAACAAACAAAAAATGATTCAACAAATAAAAATTGTTGTTTCAAAGATTGTTTCGCCATTTCAAAGAAAATATGTTTTGATCCATGAGATACCTATCTATATTATAAAAACAAAAAATATTTTCATTGAAATCAATAGAAAAAAATATTGGTGTCAACAATATTTATCGTTAGCCTGGAGACAATTTTTTTATTGAATTGAATACATAATCTTGATTTAGGGTGTGACTATTTAGGGGAGCACTAGTGCCATAATTGGCAATATTTCACAAAATATGCGGTTTCTATAATAGTTCACCTAACACGGTGTCTCTGGCAGAACAACATTAATATAGAAAATTAGTATATCTGAAACACCCACCATACGAAATCTAGATGTTCCTCTTTCATTTGAGTTTCAGCTAGCTCAAAATGTTCTATCGGGGGTAATTTTTGCATATATTCATACATCCATAAATTTACATACATTTTTTTTTAAATAAAAATTGTTGTAGACCCACCGATAGAATATTTTGATACTAGCCTTATATCAAAAGCTTAAGCTATCGTTTGGTGAATGTTTCAACTATACTGATCTTCTTTATAATAAGGTTTCTTTCAGAGACACCATACGAAATAGAGATGTTCCTTATAAACGGGTACCATACATAAACGATATCATAGATTGTGCGACCATAGCGTATATAATTGGGATGATATCCCGAATTGGTGATTAGGCGCTTCTTATAGTTATTGTTTATGTAGGTTGTAGCATATTCAGTATTCGGCCAAAGGCTGCATATTCGGTGCATCTCTAATGAACATGCCAAATCAAATCTGCTCAACCATAAAATGTTTACGTTACTATTGTTTTGAAACTCTAATCTAAGCACATACTTTCTGTATGTTTACTATGTAGATATAAATGTATATAATCTTCGTAATATATTGTTATAGTAAGATTGTATGAGTAAATAAATTATTAGTTATCTTCAAATTTGATAATTTCTACCTTTGTAATTTTCTTCGGGTCTGGTGTACCGGTTTCCAGAACTTCTACCTTCTGATAAACATTTGGTGAGTTTAGCCATCTGGAGCGGTCGCCACCTTTTCGGAAGTCGCCTTTCTTCCAGATGCTGTAGTGAGCAAAAAGAAATATAGTTTTGATCTAAGTAGTGTTGCATTTTATATTACCCCTGTTTAAAGAGTTCTTCCTCTTCTATCAGATAACCCAACGAAGAGACGGCTGGTGGTACCTCGACATCATTCTTCGGTTTCGGAAGGTCATTTTTCACCAACGGGTTTCTGTAAATGTAACCAGTTCTGAAACCGGCGTTGTCTAACATTCGCATAAGGGCTTCGAATTCAGCACCTCCCACTCTCCATTTAGGTGTCTGAAACGTAATATAATGTTTCGTGACAAACCAGAAGTAATTTAATAAAATTTAGAATAACCTGTGGACGCTCCTTATTATCTGCGGCCACAGCGTGTAATGTTAGGCCCTCTGGAGGTTTTCGTGATGCATCGTAGATAGCTTTACGTGTTTCTTCTGGAATAATAATCAGATTATCCAAACCAACGGGCAGTAATTTTAGCTGTGCTTCGCAGGCGGCCACTATGTGAGTGACTGCGAAAAAAGCTTCTTCGACAGTTTCACCACAACAAATCGCACCATGATTCGACAGCAACAAAACCTTCGAGACAGGTCCTAGGCTTCTCAGTAATTTATCCTTTTCTTCTGGTTCATTCAGACCTAAAAAAACATCAGTTGACATATTGAAAACAACATAGTATGTTACTTACCTCCTGTGTACGTATGTACGGATATTTCACCAAGCAGAGAACTATCCTTAGTAAGTGGAAGCAATCCTTGTTTAAGAGCTGAGATTGCAACGACTGAGTTACAACCGACGTATATTGCACATCTAACGTCAGGCCTAGCAGCGTGAATCACGGAGTGCAATGTGAATTCTAAAAATATATTAACACCGTTAGGAATATAATTCTACGCAATGTTCTTGTATTATAACTCACGACTAGTGTTAATGCCAAAGTTAGTTGTCCCTTGTTCGACAATTTGTCCCTGCATGTTCACTTTATTCAGTGAAGATGCCGTGATTTCATGGTTGAGAACACCGAACGGATTGACCAGGAACAGTTCTTGGTCAGCGTTCAGACGAGCGGTAATCAAACTGTTAATACCCTGGGACCAGCCATACAGATCCACTAGCCTGAATGCGGCAGCAAGTTTGCAACGAAGAATTTTTTCTCCTTTTTCGTAACCCATGGCTTCCATACCACGGATGTCATTGATCGGAACTACACAGTTGGAACTCTTGAAGACACTGCCTACGCGAGCAGCAGGCATTCCCATGATGTCAGACAGTTGCTGCAATATGTTAGACGATCCGCCATCGCGCATTTGGCTATCTACGATTCGCTCAAGTTCCTCGCGAAATAGACGAGAATTCATTATGCCTTCTACCCGTTTGCGACGCTCCATTTCACGCATATCTGCCTCAATATCTGCTGGACGAGTTTTGTTGTATTCTTCTTCTTCCGTAATAGTATCTATGCCATTGATTTGAGGGGCTGTTTCAGTCTCTGCCATTTTGCTTTTTCTGTTTTTTAAGAAAAAAAAAAATGAAAGGTATTATTATTATAGTTTCTTTTTTTTGCATTATGGGAAATTATATCTGTTAGCACTCCTTAATTATCTAAGCCACGGCAAATGTAAAATGACAAGTTGAGAGCAATACTGTAATCACAGACAAACAGACGTAACTCTTTGAAAAACTTGTTCTTGAAAACATAGTATCTCAAAACATATAACCTCAGTAACGACATCTCTCTGGCTTCTCGCGGAAAATAAGCTTGCTCGCTAACGCGTAAACAATATTGCATAAAAGTTCTATAGAATATATAGAAACGTCAAAGTGATCCGATGCCAGCGCTGCGGCGAGTAGTTCGCGGAACTGATAATATTCAAGTCACGAGTTCAAATCTCACCCCCGGACAAGTCACGAATGACCCAAGAGTGTTAAAGTGACTATAATAATAATAAAAATAATCAACCGTTAAATGCATTAACGAAGATACACAATGAAGAGTTACGTCTGTTTGTCTGTGCTGTAATAGACCTTTTTGACGTTTAATCGTCTGTCTCTATCCAGCACACAGGGATGAATGGATGGTTTATTTTCCCACTAATCTGTTTCTCCCTTGCTCACACTCCTTCAGTTTAAAATGGTGCATTAGTGTGCGCCGTCAAAAACCTCTATTTTTTTTTCTTTTGGTTTTGTTTTTTCCGTCGATCTTGTTTTCCGTGCTGAGCACCAATGCTACCGACGTGCCAGGAAGGCAGCTCTTACACCTGGACCCTACCTATCGACCCATCAGAGATGTTATGCCTCAGAATATCCCGGCGGTGCCGACTGGGATTGAACCCAGGCCTGCTGGGGTGAGAGGTAATCACGCTTACCACTACAAAAAAGCTCTACGTCGGACTCGATTATCGGTAACTAAACTAACTGTTGTCACTTCTATCGTCGATTTTAAGGTTTGAAAGAAAGGTTATGTGGTTTTATTTATGGAAAATAATTAGATCCGGATCGGACGATTTGCGGCAAGATGACAGCTAAATCTATTGTCTAACTGTCAAATTTACGTCAATGCAACGAAACGGATCTAATGTAGGTGGCCCTTTAGGGTGTGCAAGGTTTTATGTTATGAACAAATAATTAGCAAAAAAAAGTTTAAAATTCTCAAACGTTTTGTTTTAGAAATTTGTTGGTCATATTCTTTTTTTTTTTTTCGATGGCTTCATTCCAGTTGGCAGGAACGTCTCTGGTCAAATCTTTCACGACGAAAGCTTTATATATCGTGATCCGTTTCGGATAGGCCTAATTGATGTTCGGACTGGGATGGCCCGTTTATGTTTGCTTTTTTTCTCTGTTCGGGATACTGCGACCAGTTATTTGATCTATTGTTGTATACCCCGTGTCCTTAGTTTAGTGCATGTCGCATTAGCACCGACATGAATGACCATAGCAAAAACAATAAAACTTCTGACCAAAGCACACTTGACATCTAGCTTCGTGTTGGCGGGAAATATTTAGCTAAGACATGAACCCGCATGTAAAAGCTATGAATTGGTTCGTGTCTGATCTATTCTGGACAAATTATTTTTATCTAGATCAAAAACTCCTATGGTTTTGACAGTTAGATTATCGGTAATTTCTACCGATATCTAGGTATTCTTTACCGACTTTAAGGTATGTGCATCTTAGCGTGTAGGCTTCGGTGGTAGATCTTAATGCCAGTAACGCACCACGAAAAGGAAATTTATCAGGCGTTACTGGGCAGCACATGTTTGTCCATAGAATTAAACCAGTACGCTGCCACGCCACCGACACTTTTTCATACGCCGCCGATGGTTTTGAGTCGGCGCGCCGCCGTGATAATTTTTGACACGCCGCCGTTATAAAGTTTAATATGTAAAGGCTTTAATAAGCTTCAAAATTGCATAAGAAGTATTTCTCGCAAACTGCACCAAATTGGAACAAGCATATTAAACTTTAAGACGCTTAAGAATTTAAAAAACAATATCTTTCATTGGTGCAAAAAGTTCCTAGGTCCATAATGGCAATTATCGAACACGTTCCTAGAAACCCCTGTGTTCATGGTCCCGGGACCAAAAAGGCACTATTGCATGTTATTTTTTTTTCTTTATTTAACGTCCGAAAGAAACCGAAAATCCATCTCCCATTGATTCATCCTTTCACACATATAGTATACCAAATTGATATTTTAAAGCAACCATCAAAATAACCAAACAATATATGAAAAGGCTAGTTGCCAGTTGCTTTAGAGGCTAGTTGCCTCCCTTATTGGACCCCCCCCCCCCCGCATCCTAACTCTATTGTAATGTTATTAGGCTGTATTTATGTTCGTTTGAAATAATTGCAATCTCTAATCTACCTAATCAAGTATAACCCATGCTTTATTAAGTACCTGCACTTGTGCATGTAATCTAAAATTTAACGTGTATCAAGTTTTTTTTTACTTTGACCTATATATATTTTTTTTTCGAGAGTTGACCAACTGCAGTCTTAATAGACTAGCATCTCGGTTGGGCTCCATGCGATGCACAATACTAACAGACGACTCGAGCTATGGTGCTCACTAGGTCACTGCAGCTTTTAGGCTCGTATTGTGATCAACTGTGTATTAGATTACGACCATATATATGTAATAAATCATGTAAATGTAAACGGAATACAGTAATGTGTTGAGAAACAAACTGCGGTGATATTATCACCATCGTCTTGTGGAGTAAACAATAACAATTTACCATTCAACTGATAGATCGGTACTGACACATCGGATGACAATTGTCAGTGTAAACATGAGAGATGCGAGCCGTAACTGTTATTCGCATATGGTATTGTATGCAATATTGAATGGAGAAGCTTTAGTGGTCAGCTAGAAGCTTTGCCTCTTGCATACAAACTTGCTAGTAGTATTTGAATGTGTGCTATCTCATATATAGGCAATAGGGAGATAATGAACTATCGATATTGTACCATGTCTTCGTAAGATAACCTGACGTATTGAGTTTCAATAAAATCAACCTTAAAACCAAAAGTATTCTCGAAGCATTGTTGCAATTCTGAAATCACAACAAGGTTATGGGCCCAGTGGTAAACTGAGTACGACAACGACAACATCCAGTAGGTAACTGGTAGCGACACGAATCAGTGGTTAACTGATCGCCAACAGACGAGCCGGACGACCCAGAAGACGACCGTTGGACCAGCTGAGCGCAGAGGAGGATCGTTATACCTGCCGAGCTAGAAGAGGACCGTTCGACCAGCCGAGCCAGAAGACGACCGTTCGACCAGCCGATTGGTGAAACTGATTATGAAAGTACTTATGAAAGTCAAGTCGATGAAAGAGACGATGATGAAGGCAAGCAGCCATTAAGACGTAGCAAGAGGGATAGGAAAACACCACGTTGGTATTCGGAGTACACAGCGAAAACGGCAATAATTCGTAACGAAGATATTCCGCAAAATATTGAAGAGCTGAAAAATCTTTTTGATTGGCCTGAGTGGAAACATGCACTCCAAGAAGAGCTTGATGCATTGCATCATAATAACACTTGGACAGTGGTAAACTGTGTGCCAGAAGGAGTCAAGCCAATTTATTCGAAATGGATTTTCTCAATGAAAGAAGATGGACGGTATAAAGCACGGTTAGTGGCAAAGGGATGCTCACAACGGCCAGGATTTGACTATAGTGATACATTCGCACCTGTTGCCAAACTGGAAAGCGTTCGTTTAGCTCTTGCACTGGCTAACGAACACAAATTGCGTGTACACCAAATGGACGTCAAAACAGCATTTTTGAATGGGAATCTAGAAGAGGAAATCTTCATGAAACTCCCACCGAAAGAAAACGGACAAAGCCAAATTGTTCGTTTACATAAAAGCTTGTATGGACTTAAACAAGCAAGCAGATCTTGGAACAAACGTTTCGATGATGCGATGAGAGAACTAGAATTTGTTCCACTCAAAAATGACTGTTGTATTTACAAATCAAAGTCCAAAGGAATCATCCTAATTCTCTATGTAGACGACATTCTTTTAATTGCCAAAAATATAGATGATATATTGTTGATCAAAGAAAAACTTGGAAGGTTATTCCAAATGAAAGATTTGTCTGAGGTAAAACATTTCCTAGGAATGGAAATTAATCGAGATTTTGAAAATCAAACCATTGAAATCTCACAAAGTCAGTATGTTGAAAGGCTCCTGGAAAGATTTGGAATGGCCGAGTGTAACCAGTGGGGACACCATTGGACACTAATACAAAATGGTCGAAATCTGAAGGAAAACTTACTGATCAACCCTACAGAGAATTAGTAGGATGTCTACAATACCTCTCATTGACATCCAGACCGGATATATGCGCTGCAGTGAATGCGTTAAGTAAATATACCAACTGTGCAACCGATTGGCATTGGACAGGGCTAAAACGCATCTTACGGTATTTGAGAGGAACCAGTAACACCAAAATAGTTTACTCTAAACAAGCCAATAGACCAGCCTTAGTAGGATTTGGAGATGCGGATTTTGCGAACGATCCAGACGACAGGAAATCAATATCTGGCTATGCATTTCAACTCTACGGCAATCTTGTTTCGTGGTCAACGAAACGGCAACCAACAATAGGCTTATCAACGAGTGAAGCTGAATTAATAGCATTGTGCGCTGCTACGAAAGAAGGAATGTGGATAACAAAACTTCTGAATGAATTGGACGTAGTCATAACACCATTCATTATTATGGAAGACAGTATACCATGCATCCACATAGCAGAGGAGCCGAGATCACATCAACGAATGAAACACCTGGACATCAAGTATCTCTTCATCCGGGAACTCATCAAGGAAGGAAAGTTGAAGCTACAATTTATCCCGAGCGTAGATCAGCCAGCTGATGCATTCACAAAGGGGTTACCTAAAAATACACATCGAAGGTTATTCGAGCTGTTGAATGTAAAAATTGTGGGGAAGTGTTGAGAAACAAACTGCGGTGATATTATCACCATCGTCTTGTGGAGTAAACAATAACAATTTACCATTCAACTGATAGATCGGTACTGACACATCGGATGACAATTGTCAGTGTTAACATGAGAGATGCGAGCCGTAACTGTTATTCGCATATGGTATTGTATGCAATATTGAATGGAGAAGCTTTGCCTCTTGCATACAAACTTGCTAGTAGTATTTGAATGTGTGCTATCTCATATATAGGCAATAGGGAGATAGGGAGTGTGAGAATGTGAAGCAGAAATGAACTATGTAAATAATGAACTATCGATGTTGTACCATGTCTTCGTAAGATAACCTGACGTATTGAGTTTCAATAAAATCAACCTTAAAACCAAAAGTATTCTCGAAGCATTGTTGCAATTCTCGAATTACAACATAATGTCCCGATTTTGTCAGCCCCCTTTTTTGAAAATGTTTTCCAATGTTCTACAAAACCCATGCCCTTTTTCAGTAATTTTCTTGAACATATTGCACCAAAGTATACTTTAAATATCCCTATCATAAATTTATATTTATGATTATGTGAAATTATTGAAAGAAAAAAGTCTGAAGCGCGGAGGGGCTAACAAAATCGGAACATTACTGTATTTAAAATAAATAAATTCATTCTTACCTTTTTCTGGTTGTTTGATTATTAATTGCTATTATTACCTGCTTAGAGTTGGCTCCTTTAAAATACTGTGTAGAATTTACCTCATTATTCTTCAGCTCTATCGATTTGCGTTCCTGCGTGGTTTTTGTGATAGAACCACGCTCAGCATATTATCCTGTAGTACGACATGGACATGCACCATGCAAGTAACTCATCTCTCGTCAAAATGATGGGATATGGGGTGATGGTAAAGGGATATAGAAAACGAATAAAAGAACAGAGAGAAAGGTATTAGCATTGGTTACATTTACCCCCCCCCCCAACCAAACACACAACGAAAAAGAAACATAGATGCACAGACAAACAGAAATAACACATTTAATATTTCTCTCCACAATACATAGTCACTAAAACACTACCGCCATGTGTTGAGTATCATGTGATGGATAGTACGCTGAACAGATGGCGCTAGTGTGCAGACGTCAAACGCAAGGGAACCGACCGTGCGCGCCACAGGTGGCGGCATCACCAACCAAAAACACTCAAATTGACCGTCAAATGCGTATTCGATGAACAACCTGCGAGTGTTATGTCTGTTTGTCTGTGATAGATGGGTTATTAGGAAAGTACAACTACAAACTATTAGTGCAATGGATGAACGTTAGTTTCGGGGTCATGTTAGTGTTAGAATTTTGTTAGTATTGACCCGTATTCAGCCCTGTCGGCCCCTCGAACACTAGTCGCAGGCAGTTGTTGTTAGGACATGCGACACTGTCACTGCTACTATGTTAAATGTATGACCCGTCAAGTTTCGAAGTGCAAAAAACTGTTATAACTTTCTTATAAATTAACTTTACACTCAAAGCAAACTATTTACCTTAGCATTGCAAAAGCGAATTTAAAATTACTATTTTATTTTATGCTAATATTAAAATTATGATAAAACTACAATTTACGGCTCCGTGAAATTAACTCGCATGAACCTTTCAAATCAATGAACTGGAGAAAAACTACAATTTTAACAAATTGCAAAAAAAAAATCATAGCGACACTTGACTTATCATCATCAAACCCCTCATCCTTGGACAGGGACTTTGACCTATATTTATTATATATTAGTTCGTCCCAGGTGACACCTTCAAGTGACTAAAATGCTTAACTTTGATGTTAGTTTCCTAGCTGATTTTAAAATTATATATGGTATATGCTCCAACTACGCTCACATGTTTCCACTGTCGTCCCACAAAATTACGCATGGATATGTCACAATAGAAGCACGCTACAGTGGAAATCCCGAGCCATAGTTCGAACACTTATCCCAAACCAAAATGAAGCATATATAAGATTAGTTACAATACCATGTAAAAAGAGGTGTTTAACACTGAGCAATGCCTTAATGAAAACAACAATGAAAGCTTGTCACGCAAGTAGAAGGAGCACTGTTGGGCACTTTCTGAAACATTTCAATAGTATAATTCCAAATAAATCTATCTGTGTAAAAATAAATAAAATAAGAGTGATTTGCGGAAAACCCGCCAGTATCGCACCCAACGTCAGTGCCTATACGTAAGCGTGCTACGACGCTTCTCTCAAACAAAGGAGTAACAAGTGTGATACTATCACTGCTAGACTAGATCTTTGGTTCTCTCATGCAGTGGTTCATCAGAGAGGGGAGGCTCAGTAATCCTCATCGCATGCTCATAACGCTATTCTGCCACGGCATGAGCCAACGATGCCGGACCTAAACCAACCGTCTCTTCATAGTGGAGCCACTATGATGCATAAGATTAGGCCCGCCCACCAACGTCCAGGTTAAAAACTAGCCAAGGGGAGGGAAATACATATTCGTTATCTGCATTAAAAATGGAACCGAAATCCAAAATTTCATGATTCTTGGAACACTGGAACTGTTTTAAATGAGTACGACTACATTAGCAAAAATCACCATCTTTGCGCCCCTTGGTGGGACTTTGTATGGACGTGAGCTGTCAACGAATAGATTTAGTGTCAACGATCAAAAATTTAAATCTTGATTTAAGAATCGAGATGAATGTCTACGGGATCGATAAAAATATCGTGCTCAGAAAACGAAGCTCTATCAGATGATGTATAAAAATCGGTAAATCGGTGAATCCATATACGTGTCTTCGCGGATTGTCTTCGCTGCCAGCGGGAATCGATCTTCTTCTTCCGTCGCAAGCTGATGCAGCGTCCTCGTTGCCAGGAACGGTGCTGATTTGGTTCCGTACGTAACTGTGCCAAGCTTGTACGTCGTGACCTCATCGGTTGGACGAGGCCGCCAGAGAATACATGTCAGTGGTCTGTCTTCTGGTCGCATGTTGATCTGACGGAACATTTTTTCGATGTCAGACACCAGCATGATTTGCTTTATCCGACAGCGCAATATGATTGACCGTAGATCCTGCTGTATTACAGGTCCAACATGTAGCGTATCGTTGAGCGAAATACCTGTAGACGTCTTACAGGACGCGTCGAAGACAACGCGAACCTTGGTGGTGGTGCTAGCCTCCTTGACCACCGGGTGATGCGGTAGGTAACAGCGCTTAACCGTCTCTTGTGATTCGTCTACTTTACGCATGTGGCCTAATGCGAGGTATTCGTCCATGAAAGCTGTATACTGTTGCCGTAGTGTAGTAATACTAACCTCAACAAATTACCCTTTTGAATAATTCCTTATCCCTTACTACGGACCATGCATCACATGGGAAGTATAATTCCATTACACATCATAAATTAAATACTCACTCAGCTTGACATAGAAACAATTACCCAAATTCTTAACCTACTGAGAAAACACTGAGTCAGCACCAAAACCTTTTCCTTTTCCTTATTTTGAGACCATTTAAGTGCTACCATATGTACACAATAAATTCCGCGCGTATGTACGCCAAATAGTTTACAAAACAGCCTAACGTGTCGTTTCCCTCCATGCTAGTTTACATTTGAAGAACCCGGTAAAATAAACTCACATTCTACTTTCAACTGTCTAAGACTATAGTGGATAAATCCGAAAGTCCGATCTTGCCACAGTAGACTGGCATCCTTTGCCAGCCTTCGTTCCGTGCCTTGGAGACGTCGAAAGGCTATGTCCCTTGACTCGCCCAGCCGTTGAAATTCGTCTCCATCCTTCAGTATTGGAACAGTATATCGTCCATCTGCGTCACGTTGTACTGCCTGGGTGAACAGTGATTCGCAGCGAGTTTGTTCTGGTGAATAGGCCCGTGATGACTCGACCTCCTCGCAGGACCAAAATCGAGCCACCATCTCTTCCAGATCATTCGAAGCCGACGCGTTACAAGTGATCGGCTGTCGACCAGCTAATCGAGTTCCTCCGCAGACTACCCATCCGAATACCGATTCGGTTAGCATTGGTAGCTGTTTGCCCAGCGATAACTGACGACCCGTCTCGAAATATTCGAAGAACGCCTCAATGCCAAGCACTATGTCCACATTCCTCGATACAAAGAACGTCGGATCTACCAATTCGATGCCTTGTGGAATTTTCCATCCCGTAGTGTCGATGGAAATCGTGGGTAGTTTTGCGGTCACTCTTCGTAATACCAGGAAATTTAGTTCTCGAGAGAAGCCTGAAACTCTCGATCGCACCACTGCTTGGATTCGCTGCTTTGCCTTGGTTGCTGCTTCACCAATTCCAACGACGGAAATGCTCACAGCTTCTCGGGCTACCTTCAGTCGTTGACCCAACTGCTCAGTAACGAAGTTGCTCTCCGATCCTGAATCCAGAAGAGCTCGTGCTGGATATTGATTGCCGTGGTCATCCTCGATGATAAGGACAACAGTTGCCAACAGTGCTTGCGACGAGTAACTATTGGACGACGTAGAAATTGTAACGTCGGTGGCTGCCATGTTTGCCACCTGGGGTGATGAAGCATCTCCATCTGGTCCATCTGGATGATTGGAAGATTCATTGCTAGTGGTTTTCGAAGCAGCTCCACCCTTCGCATCTGGTTTGAAGCAGACAAGCGTATGATGGCGTCCCGTACACTTCCGACACGAGAATTTCGATCGACACTCCCTTGCCTGGTGACCTTGTTTGAGGCAGTTTCGGCACAGACCATGAGAACGCAGCAACGCTTCCTTATCGGATGAAGCCATTCGCTGGAAAACCTGGCATTGGAATAGGAGATGATCTGCCGAACAACTAACGCAGCCCTTCCGAGGTTCCTGGACTGTGTTGAAGCTTGTCTTCACGATCGGCAATCGTTGTTTCACCGAAGCTGACGATGACGATGGTTTCTGCAATCCCTTGAAGTCTGTCGTCCGTGCTGGCAACGATTCTAGAACTCCAATACGTCGCTGGAGAAATTCTGTCAAATCCTTGAGCGTTTCCTGATCTTTGCTTGCCGAGGATTCCTCCCACCCTCGTCTTGTCACAGGATCCAACCGCGAGATGAGAAGATTGACCAACAAGAGATCCTTGTAGTCCACAGGTTGAATTATTTGATCTAATGTTTGTACGGCACGTTGGAAACCTTCCACCAGCTTGTGCAAATCAGCAACTGATTCCTTAGCCAGCGTAGGTAGATCGAAGAGTGTTTGTATCTGGCGTTTCTTAAGCTGCTTACTGTTGCTGTACCGCGAGACGAGCATATCCCAGGCTACTTGATAGTTGGTTTTGGTAATTTGTATCGGGTCTATGAGGCTTTTAGGCTCCCTTTGTAGACATCCCTTCAAGTAATGAAATGTTTCAACTTCTGGCAGATCTGTTCGAAAGTGGATAAGCGAAGTGAACAGATCGCGGAAGCTTAACCACTCGTTTATGTCTCCATTGAATGATTGCAACCTTATCTATGGTAAGCGAGCGTGATCGAGATTGCCAGCAGTCGTCGAAGCTGTAGCTCGAAACGATTGCTCGGGAATTGCAGTCCCCTGTAGCTCCTTGAGCTTTTCCATGAGAAACGATTTCGCTTTGTAATAACGCGTGCTGAACTCTTTTCTCTCATCGTCGAGCGGATATTTCTCGTCACTGTAACTAACGTGTGATTTCACCTCAATCAAAGATTCCTCGATTTTCACCCTCAATTCATCGAGTCTCTCCAAACGTATGGACATATCCGACGCAACAACATCTGTCGGAACATCCTCAACGAACTCCCAAATATCATTGAAGGAACTTTGGTACTCCCTCAGTTTCGTAATTAATGGCTTCAGGGACATCGTCTTCGTCCTCGATGATGACGAAACAGGCATGGTGCGATAAGTCAGAGGTACACAAAGAAAGCGCTATGTAGTATGCAGAGATTGATCCTAGCTTCGGTAGGGCATATACTGTCCAGTGTTATTTACCTGGCAGAAACAGTTGTAGTACGTTGCCCAAGTCGATAGAGGATCAATGCTAGCGTAGCGGAGGAGAATCAAGCATCAACAACGATCTCAGCAGATAACTCGCACGGATTGCGTCAGTAAGTTCACATGGGTTGCGTCAGTGAGAGGAGGACAAAGAGTTATGTAGCATCAAGAGAACCTGGCCACGGCTGGCCATATACTGTTTATCTCACCTGGAGAAACAAACAGCTGCGTAGGCCAACGCCGGGAGGGGAAGGAGTGGTACGTAATGGTGATTTCAACTATCAAATTTGTTATTCACGAATGGTCCAAGGCGTGATCGATCAATTCATCAACGAGTCAATTTGAATTCGTCGTAATGCTCAAACAGGATCAGGGATGCAGGCACAATCAATTGAAGAGGATAATATAAATTTACTACGTGTATTTCTGAGCCTAGCTTCGTGGCATATACTGTAAATTTTATAGTTTACCTGGCCAGAAAACCGGTTGCGCTGCCTCTTCGATAGGTGTGCCTCCTCAAGCGATCGTTCCGCAAATTCAGTCAGTCCAGTAGACGATCGATCCGTGACCGATTCCAAAAGACGATCGGACTGTGAACCGCAGAATTCATGCACGTAGTAGTCCTGGTGCACCGTTGTTCTAGTGGGTGTCGATTCAATTCACTCGTCGTACTCGGTTGAGTTCCGGAACAGGTCAGGTAAAATCGAAATGGCGGGATTAGAATCGATTCGAGATTGGCTTCGGCCGTGACATATACTGAGCTAAGGGTTGCTTACCTGTGAAACCAGGAAGTCGTGCTGTTTCAGTATACCATACAGCGACCGTCCGTCCGATGTATGTGATGCAGTCTCGAAGGTGAATCGACTCTCATGCAGTCCCAGCGTTTCGTGTAGTGTGTCCAATGGCGCGATAATCCTCACAGTCTTTCCAAAGGCAATGGCGCAGCCCAGCGCCAGTCTTCAATAGACGTCCAGAGCAATGGCGCAGTCCAGCACCAAATTGCTGTTCCAGCTTTCCAGCGTTCCGCGATGGCTGAGATGTTTGTGGCTCGCGGACAATGGTACAATGGCACACAATACTGTGGCGGTTTCTAGCAAGGCTTTGGCTTGCCTTCGCGATGGCTTCGTTCCAGTGTCGTCTACCGGAGTCCAATGATCCGGCTCGAAGGACCATATGTTGTGCCCTGAACCGTCTCACCTTCAATAGCAGTTGATTTTCAGGGGTCCAACACAGAAGCATGCAGCAGCAGGAACGATCATTTGTCCGTCAATCAGCCGAAAGGAAATTAACGGCGAGTGTGTGCACTTGTCCTTCCGAATCTCCCTTGATAGTTGGAATTCTTCACTTGATTCCAGAAAACTCACTCACGTAATCACAACATCAAAACGCATGATTTATTATAAACACAAACTAACGGACACCTCGACGGACACTACATTTATTAATCGACTTAACTAACTAGACTACACAAAGGAATACAAATATGCGGTTTACCGCGACCGTATGACCGTAACCAGTGGTCCGTCCGATGACCTGTTCGCAACTGCCGATCGGTTTTAATTTAGAGCAATGCAACAGATCCAGAGAAGCTGATCTGTTGCGAGAGACGTGACGTCACGGATCCCGATGGTCGATGGTCTGGCAAGCCAGGTCGACACTCTCGTCGGTCGTGATCGTCCGCTCTTCTACTCCGTTTAGATCACATTGGATCTTTCTACTACCTAACCCTAGCCTTACAGAAATACATGAGAACAATAAGTTTGCTTGTCGATCGATATCGTCTATCCTCATGGTGTGGTACATAAGGGTCCAGAACAATAGCCCAGACGTAAACAACTCCGCCGGCGGTTGCACAGACAGACTATTGTGGTGGCTAGCTGCGGATAGTGATGACCAGAGTTGTAGCTGAGTGGGGATCTCGCTACCGAACAATGATGATTAATCTGTTAATATGCTTTTATAAGCGGGTTCAAATGCACTTTTGGTAAGCATCAACACTGATCTGGCAACACTAGTGTGCATCTTTCCAATGTGGTAAAGATCCAGATCAGCCCTGGGACCTGGTAGCCTAATTAAACTACCTCAAGGTTTTTCCAAAGCCCAGGGATTGTCGGTAGGCAAAATATATATCAAAATATCAAATTTAGAGTTGGTTGGAAATGCTAACATGAAACTTTAGTGTTATAATTTATTAACTAGAGAATGATCTTTATTTTTTGTTTTTCTTTATTAAAGAGATTTTTTGCCATAGGCTAGTTCATCTCTTATGATCTTTAGAAGAGGGTAGAGTACGGCAGTATGAAAATTGAATAGAAGTTGAAAATGAGCGAAGGGCCATTAATGCGACAACCTCCCGTCCAGATGGAAATAATGTTCCATTATGCATGAAAAAAGAGGGACCAGCAAATAGATTAATTTCGTAATATAAGTAAAAAAAATCGAGACATGGCTAGACTCTCGAACGCTTTCCAGCCAAGCGTTTGGATGTGAGTACGAGGTATTTCGCTGCGATCGAAACCCGAACAATAGTCGAAAGTCCACTGGTGGTGGTGTCCTGATTGCTGTTCGGTCCGAGTTGAATGCTAGAGCCATAAAGCACGACATGTGGAACTGCGTTCAACAGGCATGGGTAGCTGTCAAGCTGAGCGATCACACACTGTACTTATGTATGATATAAATTGCACCCGACCGAGTTCGCGACATTGAACTTATCGAAACTCATTGTCGATCCGTTTCCACCATATTAGATTTTGCGTCACCTATCGATGAGATTATTGTTCTGGGCGACTTTAATCTCGCTGGTGTTTCGTGGAAACCTTCCCACAGTGGCTTTCTCTTTCCGGACCTCGCTGGTTCTGCTTTCCATCCTGGATCAGTTAGCCTTCTCGACAGCTATAGCGCAGCGACGTTATCTCAAATCAATCCCGTGGTAAACGAGAACAATCGTAGCTTAGACCTCTGTTTCGTAAGCGCTCAGGATACGACTCCATTCATCTCGTCGGCTTTTCCACTCGTAAAGGAAGTTCCTCGTCATCCTCCTTTGGTTATTACTGTAGAAGACAATCACATTCGGGGTCTCGAAGACATCTCCACTACGGTGTCTTACAATTTCCGGAAAGCCGATCATCGTAGCATTGCCGATGTGATGTCAAGCATTGATTGGGAAAACATACTCGATTTTGATAACGTCGAAGCCGCTGCTCAAACTTTTTCACATGTCTTGGCTTATGTCATTGACAGACACGTACCTAAGAGCGTTCACCAGATTGCATCGCACCTCCCTTGGCAGACGAACGAATTGAAGAAGTTGAAATCGATCAAGAGAGCCGCGTTGAGGAAATTCACTAAATATCGAACGATGTCACTGAAACGTCACTACGTTAAGCTCAATTATCAGTTCAAGCGAGTCAGCCGTCAATGCTACTTGCATTATCTGCGAGGGATTCAAAGGAAATTCAAGTCGCACCCGAAGTCTTTCTGGAAATACGTGAAGGAGCAGCGCAGAGAGTCCGGTCTACCATCATCCATGATATTGAACGGCGAAGTCGCTCTACAGGAAGTCTGCCGCCTGTTCTCCAACAAGTTTGCAAGTGTCTTCTCTGACGAGAGCTTAACCAACGAATACGTGACTCTAGCAGCAAGCAACGTTCCAGTTTCCGTCAAGCTCTGGGTGGAATTGTTGTCAACGCTGAACTAAAGCCTTCTATCAACCCTGGACCGGATGGTGTCCGTTCAGTCTTTCTGAAGAAGCATATCGCTAACTTACTGTCACCGCTACAACATCTGTTCCGATTGTCCATATCGTGTGGCATTTTTCCATCGAACTGGAAATTTGCGCATATGTTCCCTGTGTATAAAAAGGGTAGTAAACAGAACGTGGATAATTATCGTGGAATTACATCGTTGTGCGCAATTTCGAAGTTATTCGAGTTAATCATCATAGAGCCTCTGCTGTCCCATTGCAAGCAGTATCTAAGTGAAGATCAACATGGCTTCACCTCTGGTCCATCTACTACCACGAATCTACTGTGTCTGACATCGTACATCATGCAAAGTATGGTTGAAAGGTCACAAACGGACGTCATCTACACTGACTTGTCTGCTGCCTTCGATAAGATAAATCACGCCATCGCGATCGCCAAATTGGATAGACTTGAAATTAGCGGAAATCTCTTGAGATGGTTTTGCTCATATCTCGCCGATCGTCAGTTGGTGGTAGCCCATGGTGACTGCCAGTCCGACATTTTCGCAGCTACGTCAGGAATACCTCAAGGAAGTCATCTGGGACCGTTGATTTTCTTACTCTACTTCAATGACGTGAATTTAGTTATCGAAGGTCCACGACTATCGTATGCAGACGATCTCAAAATCTACTTACGGATCTGCTCGATCGATGATTGTCAATTCCTCCATTGAAAAAATAAGTATTTTCCAAAATACTACCAATAGTTATCGAATATCTTTAAAATAGTGTGAATATTAAAACACATTAAATTTACAACAACAAAAAAATAAAGGGTTGTGTCCTAGACACGACCGCAGTATGACGTAGAACCACACAAAATTGATGTTTTTCATGCATTTTTGACTATTATACTTAATCTTAAAAATTTCAAGTATTTCAATGTTTCGGTTATGGTTGACTCAAAACAATTTACACATTTTTCTTGACAAATATCCATGTGAAATTCCACATGATTTTCATTTGACCACACATAAACAGAATCCACTCAGAAGTACACATGAAATTTATACGCAAATGAATAGTATGTGTGGTCACGCATGGTTTTTATATGTATATATGTTAAGTATGTGGCCGACACATAGATATTGATTAGTTGATCACGTTGCAACAACACATGTGTGGGATTTGGGGGGTGGGCGGGGTATGGGGTCGGTTAGGAGAGGTTGTTGATGGGGGGGGGGGGGGTATGACAGGTTGTTGATGAGTGGGGGGGGGGTATGAGAGGTTGTTGATGAGTGGGGGGGGGGGTATGACAGGTTGTTGATGAGTGGGGGGGGGGGTATGAGAGGTTGTTGATGAGTGGGGGGGGGGGTAGGAAAAGTTGTTAATGAGTGGGGGGGGGGGGGGTAGGAAAGGTTGTTGATGAGTGGGGGGGGGTTTAGGAGAGGTTGTTGAGGGGGGGGGGGAGGGATTGTTGTGAAGGGGGGAGGGGGAGAGGTTGTTGTGAAAGGGGGAGGGGGTTTACATACATTACTTTTCATCATTGTGGCCACGCCGTGATCCACCTTTAGCTGCTGATTTGGTCTTGCTTACTGCAGGACCAAGTGCCAAGCCGTCCGAAGCGAAAATGAGCAAAAGCATGACAGCAGTGCTGTTTTATATCTTTTCAGGTTCAGAACCTGATAGGATTTCCCGCCGTTTTTTATTAATGGGGCGGTGCAAAAGGTTTCTTTTGTGCAGAATATGTAAAAAAGGATGGACTTTGGATGTTAATATAATTGCATATATAGAGGTACCAGATATGTTTTACAGTCAGTTGTTGGTAATTCATCGAGTGTATGTCTCCTATTAAGCAATATTTTTATTTGAAAATGTTGGCTCTGCATGTAAAAAATTAATTGTTCATACATTATTAGGGTCCATGATATAATTAACTCATGCGTATGATTAATAAACTGTGAACAGCAAAGTTTAAGGAAATTAATTGGGCTTTTTGTTAAAAATATTTTCAAGATTGAACACTCACGAATAACATCTCAAAGAGCGAAAATTGCTCAAATTATGCGATAAGTGAATTTTAACCTACGAGTATCTCGAAAATAACAACTTTGGGCAATTTAAGCTTTATGAGCTTTTTTGATGTAAATTTAATGTGTTTTAATATTAACACTATTTTAAAAATATTCGATAACTATTGGTAGTATTTTGGAAAATACTTATTTTTTTCAATAATTCATAACTTTTTTGTTTATGATTTGCCCAGCAAATGCACAGTGTCAGTAGGTATTACTTTACCTAAGCTACAAAATAAATATAAAAAAAAAATATGTTAAAAAGATATGCAATTTGAGTAAACATCTCAAAAGGGCGAAAAAAATTTAAAATATGCGATAAGTGAATTTTAACCTACGAGTATTTCGAAAAAAAAAACAACTTTGAGCAATTTAAGCGTTATGAGCTTTTTTGTTGTAAATTTAATATTAATACTATTATAAAGATATTCGATAACTGTAGGTGGTATTTTGGAAAATACTTATTTTTTCAATAATTCATAACTTTTTTGTTTATGATTTGCCCAGCAAATGCACAGTCAGTAGGTATTACTACTTTATCTAAATTACAAAATAAATATAAAAAATTAATTTAAAAAAAAAATGCAATTTGAATAATTTAAATTTTTTTTTTGATAATTTTAATTTTTTTTTCTAGTAAAAAAAAATTATAATTTTTTACTGTCTATATTTTTATTGGAAGGCACAATACTTGTCCGCAACTTCTTCTAAGTGTTAGTCTTGTGCAAAACTAGGGAACCATATATGTAAAATGGCATGTTGGGCAATAACAAACAACTGTGCAAAGTTTCATCATAATCGTAAACGGTCGATCCGAAACGATTTGCGAATCTGTGTGGAACTGCTCATGATCACAAAATGTGTTTGTTCTCCCTAAATATTATTTATAAAATGTATTTATTTATGTTTTATTTGCATACGCAATCTTTGCAAGAACCCAGCAATATTTTACTGGCATTCAGCAATCTTTTACTGAAAAAATCAAAACATTGCTGGTATTTTCTGTACAAAAATGTCAAACGTCAGATTTTGGGATCGCAAAAAAACATGTCTAAATTTAATGGGAACGCACACTTTTTTTATAGGAATCTTTGGTAAACTTCTCTGCTTAATTCTGGGAAGTGCTTAGCTGAGTATTTTATACGATTGCAGCTGCAAAACGAATACCTACACTAGAAGCGGTTTTTTTGCTCAAGCTTCATAAAATTTCAGCTAATCATTAATCTATGGGAAATGTCGGCTTCGGAAATACCTAAACCTATTATCGTCAGGAGTTAAAAAAAATCCACTCAAATTTGGCCAATAGATGCTCTGAAATACATGCCAAACTTGAGCTCTCAAGGACGTTGTTTACCCTCCTGACGATAATATTGAAAGTATTGCCGAAGCCGTCATTTAAACTATTTATTTAATTATCACCGTCTTGAATGTATTAAAAACAATGTCACAGACTGTATCTTATTCTAAAACCTTAATCCTATTAATAAAAGCAGTTTTAATAACATTAAAAACAAACACAACACTCACACTGAATGAATGGAAACATTTACGGATTATCACGTCCATATGAGGTTCTATGGCTGCTGATAGACAGCAGATCACGATATCGCAATTGTCGAAAAGGCGCATAAAACGAAACGTTCACAAGTAACGACGGACTGTCAAGATTTTCCTTTCAAATCAAAATTTGATCTAAATCCGGAGAAGTTACAGCTTTAAAACTTGTTGGAAGCGACAAACAAAATCTTCCCTGTCGAAAAGAAGGAGGGGGAGAAATGGAACAACCTCCCATGAGTTTTTTTTTTTGTGTATCGCTGTATGAAATCGAAAGTAAAACCATTAAATTTAAGATACTGTGCACCAATTAATCGAAAACACCACGCGGTAGCATGAAACGAATACATTTTTTGTATCTATGATTGCAGTTATTATGCCCTTATGATTAAGAACGCTATGATTTTTACTATGTTCAGCGTAATTATGAATTGATTTGTTTGGGCTGAATAACTACCATCCGGATGCATCATACATACACATCGCTCCCCGTCATACCGAGTAACAAGTGTTGGTATTAATGTATTCGTATGATGAAGAACTTGTGACGGGCTATTATAATATCAGCCGTATACTTGACGATGACATCATCACCTTCTCGGTCAATTGTATGTGCATCCGTCGAAATAGAGAGACATCACATCGCGTGTAAATGGAAGACAAAATTTAGGAAAAGTATTCGCTCCAATGAATGTAAAACTAGATTAAAATTTGCTTTAGAAGTTCGTAGATGTTTTGTTGAAAGATTTTTTTACCACAACGCATGACCGCATTTACTAAAACACCTAGCGATGTATGTCAATTTTGATTAGAAGAGCTGGTGAAGTACGATTTAATGCGGTATGTATTAGCTTTCAGATCGTCAATGTACTTTTTCGGTTAGGACGGCGCATGATGTATTTTTAAAATTCTTCAAAATTTCAAATCAACTAAAAAAAATGTTTAACCAACGTGCTCCAATTACTACAATAACTTATCAGCCTAATTTTGTAAACTACAGTTTCGCACATAAGTAAGGTAAACGACGGCTTCGGCAATACCTTAACATATTATCGGCAGGAGGT